GTTACTGCAGTAAATTTATATATTTTATAAGTATAAACAGAACGATGTGAAGGAGTAAAGAAATCTTTGTAACTATTTTTGCCTCTTCTATACTTAGACATTATATGAGATAGATAAAAAAAGAATTTGTAATACTAGCTAAAGAAATGACGTTCTCGAGATTGATTGAAAGATTCGAATACTTAAAAATTTTTATTTTCGACATTTTTATTTTTTATTAAATTTCAGTTTATAGAAGAAGCACCTAACTATAACTTTATTCAGTATTATTCTATTAAAAATTTTCGATTATTTTTAATACACGGAATTTATTTCAATCATATATATATATAGCCTACATCTATCAAGTATACTATAGAATTACATTTCTTTCTCTTTTAATAGATGTTTTGTAATATAAAAATACCTAATCATTTCAAATAAAAAGAAATAAAATCACCTGAATTTGCTTTGTAAAAACAAAAGAGTATCGATTTTAATTCTATCCTACCTATGGAAGTAGCTTTAAGCATGAAATCGCTGAATAATATGTTATATCTTATGAAAAGATATACACAAATAGTTATATTAGTCGGCGTCAGATGGGAGAGTGGATAAACGTGAAGTATGTAGGTTACGTACTGAGTCACTCGCTGTCGATTACTTTTTATCTTTATACGTTTACGTTAGCGAATAGTGTTAGAGAGAACAAAAAATGTTCCTTTACCCGATTATTTTCATATTAACCGAGAAGAATCTAGAAAAGACGAGAAATTTCTTATTTGCTGTTAAGATACGAATGAGCAAAGTTATACTTACTGTGCACAATAGATTTCTTTGTTTTCAACTGTTATAACAATAAAAGTTTGGTATGAAGTATTTTTAAATAAAATAAATAGAATTAAATGATCTTTGATTCAACATTTCGAAAAAGTAATCCCATGGAATTTCTATACTGAAATAGAACTATTTCGTTATAAATATAAGAGAACCTATTGATATTACTACATTTTTTTTCTAGTAAAAATATATAATTATATTTTGTTTATGTGTAGTTTGACTAATTTGCATCGAAATAACGTTAAAAGTGAAACAAACAGCAATGAAGTATTTTGTTGTTCGATTAGTAGTTTTCTTTTGTGTTTTGAAGGTAACAACTGATATTTATAGAACGACTAAAGATCGAGAAAGAAAGAAAGAAATAACATAAATGCCTTTTATGTTGACCTTCATAAAAATATACTTCTCAGATGAGTATTGTAAACAGATAAATATACACGTACAATAAAATTTCTACCAGGGAATACCTCCTAATTATGAACGGTTGTCAGTCTGACAGGATGATTTTTACTGAAAATGGCCCCCTCTAATGTCAATGGGTTGGTGTTATGATCTGATCCCTAGATCACACCATATGCTGTCCTAGATGTATTAGGTTATCATATCTTCTCGAGGTGTGATCTAGGTAATAATACTTAGATCTATCTATTTGAAATCGCTAATCGATGAGTGTACTATATTCGAGGTATGTGTTTATTGATGTATAAATACATCAGTTTTTTTCAATAAAATCAGAAGTTTGTATTTTAACTACATCTTAATAAGAGCTAACAGTTGCTTTGGCTTCTTTCTTTTTTCTATGATCTATCACTTTTGTATCTCAACTAAGTGTATTTTTGAATGACTTAACTGTTGTAAATGTAGAGTGACAAATGACAACACGAAATAAGGTTACTTTGGAAGAAAAAATACAATTAATTTATGATAATAAAGATAGTAACGACTTATCACAAGGTAGATTAGCTGAAAAATATAACATCTCACTTCATTCTATTATACTTTGGGGATGGATATGAGAGAATGGATATGAGAGATCATCTACACTCTGTAACCTCATACAATCACGTGCATCCCAAATGTGTATTATATGAACTCAAACAAAATGTGTGTCAATATTATAAAATAAACAAAATGTTAGTTTGAATCAAGAGGTTTGAATTAGTAAAATAAACTGCGTATATTCTATGATAGATAATTTACAATACAATCATTTTTCATTTTTTTAATCATAATGTCACGCTAAAGTTATATTTGATCATATAACGCTTTCTACTATTTATATCTTCCACTAGGTACTTCATTGTTTTTGGTGCAAGATAGATAAAGATATAGATAATACTATCGTACTTTATATAGCAATTATCTACCTGTCACTAAATAAATCATATGCTATCTTCTTCACACTTATTCGAAATCATTCTCGATCATTTTCATATGGTGTTAATAAGTTATCATTTGACAAAAGATCAATCTAATTTTAAGATCATTAGGAAAAGTTTTGCAAATAAGTATGTCAATTATCTTCTTTGTTTTTATTTATATTCATTCTTGACAAAGAAAGATAAACACATAGTTTAATATAATTGACAAATGTGTTATAACCTCTCCTAGATTATGATATCATATATATACACACTTTCATATTGTTAGTTGTTTTGTAGATTTTGACAAAAGTCAAAAGTATACACATATATGCTCATATTTTACTTTCATTGCTCACTATATCATTCATTATTCCTCCCCCTTCCTTCCCGTGAGTGTACAAGTTATCAATAGTCACTCAATGAGTGAAATAAAATTGAATCTCCGACTCAAAGTGGTTTCTATTTAATGATCTTTACAAATGTCTTTTGACAATAACCAGTGTTACTTGTTATTATCTACGTGAAGTATACAAAGATACATGTGTGTTGTTAATGAAATGTTCTTTTCTGTAATATGTCATGATCATTGTAAAAATATCTACAGGTTTAACAAGAACATCTGTCTTATGCTGTAAATTATCAAATTTCCTTTCATGCATGAAGAGTGGCAGACATATTTGGTTGTTATTTTGAGTGCCATTAAAAGTATTGAAAACAAAACTTTGCTTTTTACTACTTTGAAGATAAGCACACTAATGATGAAGTTTATTATTTTTGATAAAAAAAATATCTTTTTGTTTATACTATCTATAAGCATTCATAAAAAATTATAATTATTCCTGTTTTGATAGTTAAATATATTTCATTTACATTTCTCTGGTAAAAGAGATATAATTCGTTTGAATGACATGGAATGATGTTGATACTTTTTTTAGAAAAAGAAATATTCGAATGGGTGAAAATTAAAATTGATCCCTTGATAAATTTAATGTTATAGAAAAATATGTATTAGAAATATTGACATCTAAAGCATCGAGAGAGTACATAGTATTCATATTCTGCTCTTCTAGAAAATATTTTGCCAAGCTCTAGATTTAGAAGAGAATAGGACCATTGGTTTGATCTACTTATTAAAAAGATTAATGATTATAGGATCTTTTTCTCAGTAGTAATTTCGGTTCCTGTAAAAAT